TCACACTCCACAGTCAGCATGCAGTACTCTGCATTTATTGGTTTCTTTGTGCTTGTGTGTTTGAATAACATTTGTGCTACATTCGAATGAATGATAACTACGACAACATGAGAAGATATAAAGAGAGTTCCATCAAAAACACTGGTCGTCATCTTTGACCAAACACACAGTTAATGTAGTTTCTTGTTTTCCAATAATCTTTAAACCTTCAGTTTGACACAATCCTGAGTTGTCTCATAAGGGAAACAAAAAGCTTCAGTTTGTAAAGCTGTCACATGGATTCCTCGTTGGTTTAAAAATAAAAAAGTAACAGTGCTTTATTACAGTGCTGGTGCGTTGCATCATGAGAGCCGCGGCTGCTGACACGGTCGTGCTTCTTAGACCTGTTTTCCAAGTGTGGAGAAGTTCACGTTACACTGCCTGTCTCTTATTTTCCAGGTCATAGCCTTATCTAAACAACAGGGTCTGCTTCACTCTCCTCGGTCAGAGGACGGTGGCAGCACTGTCAGTTGCACCGGATCCATTCGGTACCGAGCCCTGACAGACCAGGATCCATCTCCACCCGCTTCCACCACTGGAGCCGTGGGAGGAGGTCTGTACTTCTAATAGCGCAGATTCAGCCGACTGCTCATCAGTGAAACACAATGACTCGTAAATCATCCAAGCTCTACTTTTAATTGAAAACAGTACAAGACAACATGTGACACTGAAACATTTTAAATGTAAACTCATTTGGATTTTGATCCCAGCAGCAGCTTTAAAAAACCTTTCCCTGCTTCCTTTAACCTCCCCAGGTCCTAGTTTGGAGACGCTGTGTGCAGTTTGGACCGTTTTTGATTTGATATTTAAAGTGTTTGTGCTCTTAAAAGCCTCTAAATGAAATCCCACAATGCATTTTGGGATTTGAGTTTTTTTGCTAAAAGAGTTTCCATTTGGGTCCAACCAAATTTAAAAGAAACAGGACATGTTTAGAGTGCTGATGAACCAAATCCTCAAGCTAGATGGGTTAAAGAGCAAAGGAAGAGAAGGTGATATTTATAAAAAATAAAATAAACAAGCTACAAAAAGAATAACACAGAATTAAGTACAGCATAATAATGATAAGCAGACTAAAACTGTGTGTAGTGCTGGCTCTGACCCTAACTGTGTAATGGCGTGACTTTAGGATCTGAATCCATGAATATGACAAGACTTCTTCGGTTGGCTGGTTTGAGACACACTTTGTTAGTTAGGGGTGGGTTTAAAAATTAATTTAATCAAACGTGAAGCATAGTTTGGATCTTCTTTTGTTGCTGATTCAGTGAATTTTGGTCAGAGTGACGAAACCTGCAGCATCAGAGTCTGTGAGCTGTCGGCTTCCAGCCCCGACGGCGTGTCCGTGTTCGTGCCGTCGCTCTTTGTGTTCACGTCTTTCTGCAGACTCCGTTTACCTGCTCGTTAATCGTTTGGTGTTTGAGCTCTTTGGTGGTTGTTCACATAGTTTTGTGAGCTTTACACTGAAATTCTGCTGTTTCTGGCAAAATACATTTATATTGTAGCATATATTTATATTGGCTTTTTACATGATTTAAAAATCGATATCGCATTATTCAAACTCAAATCCATTTGAATCGGGAAATTGTTTTGTTTTTAAACCCACTCCTGGAAATCAGTGACCATAGCCAGCCCTGTTGTTAGTAACTGGAGCTGGAACAAATGTGTAGTTCTCAGAATTGTTTCTTATTTCTCCGTCTAACAAAAGGAAACTTTGACACATCCCATCATTGGGCTGGTGCATCCCTGTGAGCACCTACAGTAACACATTTTGCTGTTCATACTTTTCTGGCTCGTACTTACATGCTTGTTGATGATTCAGTTCGCTGAATACTTGCTTGCTCTTCTAGGGGGAGGTTTGGAGAGAACTGGGAGTATCGTTCGTGTTGAAGCCCACCCAGAGTCCAGATCAAACAAACCAATAGTGAAACCTCCGAGCACTGATGGAAGCGGCTCCTGGCGATGGAGACCACCAGAACAAAGAGCTTCCCTTCGGCAGTCGGCTTTCAACCTCAATGACCTGAACAGACACACTGACAGCTGCGATTCGCTGAAGGACGGTGGATCGGTGGATGGGAGGAGGAGTGTCATGGGGACAGAAACAGAGAGCGATGGGGGTGGGGACGCAGGGGGCAGTGGAATGGGAGGAGGAGGGGGTGTCTACACCAGCCATCCACATGTTGTGCACCCGTTACATCCCTTACATCCAAATAATCCCAACAACTACCAGCACCTCAGTTTTAATCCTAACAATTCCAATAATCCCAGTTTTAACAACGCTCACGCTAACTTTAATCCTCCTTCTAACAACTCGAACATGCCGTTCACACCCACTGCCACCTTTGCTCCTCCCTTCCACCCCCACCCTCAAGCAGTCACCACTATCAGGGTTACACCAGTGGAGGCGACAGCTGCCAGCAGTGACGGCGGCTCGGACTGCCAGTCGGTTGCCTCATCCAGCCGTGAATCCACCTTGAGAAGGAAGAGCAGCAGCAACATGGTCCACGTCCAGGATCGAGGGCCTACCCCTGAATTCCACAACAACCACCGCCTTTGTGATGACGGCAACCGCCTTGACAACGAAAGCAGCAACCGCTTTCACGAAAACCTGCGAAGCTTTCAAGAGAACCCCATTCACCCCAACCACCCCAACAGGCAGCTGCAGGGAGTGTTTGGGCGTCCAAGCCCCACCCCTCCCCCTACTTTACCCCGCCCAATCCTGACTCACACTCCCCCGCCTACTTTTGGGCTGGCCTATAAAGAATAGCATGTTCAGTGTGAGTTATCCATCTATAACTACAATTATAAAAACAAGTAAACCATTCTAGACCAATGGGACGTTTCTGGAGATGATGTGAACAATCTGCTTACCACCTGCAGCCAATAGGACATGGTAAAAGACACGTTCTCAAATGACCAATCAGGCTACAGTAGATGGCCACTTTTGTCCAGCTTATTAAATTCTGTTAGCAGTAGGTTAGAGATCGACTTGGGTTCACAGGCCATAGACGTCGAGTCATGCCTGCTCCCAGTTTGCTCCTGGCCAACATACAAGGAGTCGGTTGGACTGAGTTTGAGTCAACATTTCTTCTTATTTTACTACATATTTACATATTTTTATCACGTATCGCTACACTTGCTTCGTAGGCACAAAGATAAGAGGCTTAAATAAACTGCTGGTCTACGCTGGTATTATTACCCTGCCAGTGAGGACAGATTCACACTAATGACTCGCTTTTCTCTGGCTACAAAGCTCAGCTAAAACAGGGGTGACATTTCTACACATCCACGTTTTTGTCACACACAGGTAACATCGAACATCGTAACCACATGCCCTTAGATGGAAATTTGTATTCAAAGCCTATAACTGTGATTGTGTTTGTACATAAGAGTGTGGGCAGCCACAGGGGAAATTAAATCCACGGTCTTAATTATGTCTGGACTGCAAAGAGTCCCTTCTGGGTAATAACAATATATCTTATTTGATGGTGGTATTGTGTTTGTGTTGAATAAGAACAATATCAAGGGGCATATATGGTGTTTAGATACTAAAACAAGCACTTTTCTTCATGCTGTGTTTTATTGGTGCGCAGTGTATAAATGATTCTTACTGTGTGGTAGTTGTACTGACACACGCAGCATCGCCTGCACAAAGGAAGTTCATTCGTTTCCTGTTCTTTGGTTTGATTTCCCAGCTTTATGACTTGGTATTACAGCCACTCTAAGGACGAAACATGGAGTCATTACAGAATAAAGTTGGAACGGTTATGAGATAAAGTTTTATACGAAAATGTTTTATGATGAAAAAGATAATAATAATACGAGCACGCTGAAGTAACAGTGAGGATTTGTACTTTAAAGTGAAGAACGAGTAAATATAAGTGAAATGCCACTTTGTTCCGTTTTCAAAGGAAATCAGAATATTTTAAGAGTAAAAGACTAAAAAGTAAAAAGTGTACAGTATAATTAAAATGTAATTATCATAATTTAAATGACATTTTCAGGAAAAGGTCAAACTCTTAAAATAATCAAATGTAATTTTATTATATATGTTATTTTCAAAACATATAAATGATAAAAGATAAAATATTTCCATTAATAATACTTTATTATTTTACAAATAAATCACCCATTATCGAAGATTTTTTTAAAAACGTTGGGAATAAACCAGAGAAAGGTTTTAAAAACTCTTTTTTTAACACTTCCCTGCTCTCTGTTCACATATTTATTATTTATTTTTTATAATGTTTCGCAGTTGTGGAAATATGAAATGAAAACTTTGTTTTTATCTCATACTCTCAAATACTTTAATACTTGCATGTGTGGGTGAATTCATAGAGTATAGACAGTATTATTATTATTATTACTTTTTTCACTCAGTCATTGATGTCAGTGGAAAAAAATGTTTTTGTTGTTGTTGTTTTCTTTTTAAATGTATAGATTGCCAGTTAGAAGAATATTTAATAGACATTTTCTTAACCCAGTGTTTACATTGTTCAATAAACTTTGTGCCCAAGTGCCATCAAAGAAAAGTCCTGTAGCTGTAGGCGAGTCACATAGATACCACGTGTTTGTGCAGGACTCTACTTTGTTTTTCTTGATGAGAATCTGCCTAGAAACAGCAAAGTGACGTTGGGATTGTGAAAACATTCAGAAAGCACCAACATGTGCGGTGGGTGATTTCCAGCTGCTGTGCTGTGTAGATATCTATATACTTTCTGTACGTGTTTGCTTGTGCTCCAGTATTTCTTTGCTTATTGCAGCTGTCAGTGCAGTGAATGGTAACGTTTGATGCTACTGGAAAGACTGGGCCTGTCGAGCTGTTTTTAAATGGTCAAGCGAGCTTTAGTAATATAGTAAATTTTAAAACAAAAGTTGACATAAATCGCTTTCAGTCAAAGATCTGTGACATGCTAACCACATAAGCACAATGGAAATCAGTGCAAGGCGAACTAAGGAGGAAGTAGAGGAGCTTGATAGGAATCACGAGGGAACCTCAGAAGATTATGGCAGAGGACTAATATGAAAGATACTTTTAGTTGTTACCCAACCAACAGACAACTTGAATGTACCCTGATCAAGAAGCACCAGTTTGATGGTTTCCCGGCCGCTGAAGTCATTTTTGTGTTTCGGTTGTTTGTTCGAATTCTTTTCAGCTGGTTTTTTGTTGTTTTTGTTTTTTCGAGACCAGCTAAAGATGTTGTGTAAATTTGAAATGGTGTGTAAGTTGTGGAGGCTTCTAGCATCATCACATTAAAGAGACACTTGTTAACAATGCATGTTTATTTGGGCCAATTGAAATATCAGAAGTGAAAGATATTTCTGAACACAGTGAATGATGCAGCTATAAAAGACTGCGTGCTGACTGACGGACGCATCACTGTCCTCGTCTCTGGATCGCCAATAAAAACACAAATATATTCTGATTCCCTGGAGTTAGGGTTAGAGTTGTCCCCGAGAATGCCTTCGACTGCAGTTACTATCAGTTCTTTGATCTTCTGGTAATCGTTTTGTCTCTTTGCTATGAAAGATTTAATCTGGTAGGTATTTCCCACTAACTGAGCCCTGCAGTTCATTTCAGCAGTGGAAGTTAACTAAGTTTCTCGGTAAGCAGCAGTTGGTGAGCAGTGTATGCATGTGTTTTTAGCTCAGAAGGTTTGGTGAAGTTTGTAAGGCTTAAAAAAAATTCATTTTTTTCTACTGCTTTACAAGTTTACAGGTAACTTTGTCCTGTTAATGGGAGAATGCAGATTGGACGTACACGTATGAAACTGCAGCCAGAACACGTGTAGAATTGTTCCGACATGTTTGTGGTTCGTGCTCTGCAGGTGATTCCAGTTCAGCTGCGTTTGACACGAATGCTGTGAGCGGCATGAGACAATGTTGATCTCTGTGTACAGGCCTGGAAAGAGAACAGTTTAAAGTGAGAGCAGGTGGAGAGTCACTTTGACTCGCCAAAAACCCAAAAGCCCAAATATTTCAACGTGAACGTTTGCATTCTAAACATTTTATACTTGTGTGTCGCTTGGATGGAGTGAAACAGGCTGTGATAGTTGTGGAACAGAAAAATTGGTTCATGATTTGTGCTTGAAGGACAATTTGGAGTTTTATTAAGCTCTGGCAGGGACGTCATTCTGCATCTTAACATTCATAACTTATGACTGGATGTCATAAATGATTCTCATCTGGTTTTTTAAGCATTTGTATATTTCTAATATGAATATTTCTAAACACTTCTACTTCATTTTATCATTGTTACGATGTACAGTTTGATACTGGAGGAGTTTGGATGATGATACTGAAAAGCACATGTTGTCAGTTGATGAAGGTGAAGGACTTTGAGAGTCTGGGGATTCGATTTAAAGTCTGAAGCACACAACGACCTGCACCTATGCTCAGATGTAGTTGGAGTGTAATTTGGAACAACGTGGAATTGTTTCAAATAACATGGAATAATACAGTAATGATGTGGATAATCCCCCTGCCAATCGTGCACATGGTGTCATGGTGAGCCCAAGAACTAGAACTGTACAAGCCAAGTGTCCCTGCACCTGATCATTACTGTCACCGAAGCAGCTGCCAGGCTCCTCTTTATGCTCTGTGCGGATTTCTGGTTCTAATAATAACTTCATATAACAACAAGGGTTTTTTCTTTTTTTGCACCATCAGCCTTAATTTATAGTACAGTATAAAATCTCTGTAGAGCCATAGTGGGCCATGGTATGTGCTGTTCAAATATGCTGTGTTTGCACTGAATATTACAGCCAAGCAGACCAAAGCCAGTTTTTCAGGTCTGTGTTGCTTTAGTGTGTAGTTATGTTCTGGGTAGGTGCACAGTGCAAATTACAGCATACACTACAGTGTTGGTACATGGCTCAGTACTATGAATCAGTAGGCATGGTTTCACATGACCTGTTACTAATCGTGTTCACTGAAAGTAATATTTGAAGCGCTTCTCACAACTTATGTCAAAGTTGCAACCTTACAGTGTTAATTTGAGCTTACCTCTGTGTGTCACCATGGTGTGGAGTGTGTTATCAGACTAGAGTCTTCAGTGCACAGCGATCTTTGGTTTGGGAGTAGTAACAGTTATTAGCTAAGGACACCAGGGTTGCAGTTTTTTCAGCTAACAGCTACACGGGTAACCTTCTTACGCTATCCTGCCTGTTGTTACACGATGTATGGCCTGCTGTTTACAACACATCCACTGTGTTCATTTAACCATCTGGTGAAATTATGTCCTAAAAATGTTTGATACAATGTAAATTACCCATAACTGACTATTTAATAATTGTCTTATTTATAATTGTAGGGTTATTTTTGTCTTTTTTTTGTTCAATCTCTCTTGATAGATACAATGTATAGATATTTTATATTGTTGTGTGTGAATTTTTTATATCTGCTTGTAAAATTTGTGGCTAATTATCATCCGGTTGTTAAGTGATGACGTGTAAACCCTGCTTCCAGGTGCAAACTACACTGTGTTCATTAAGGCTGTTGTCGTTTTAATGTGTTGTAATGCTTTGGATCTTGTTCTATTTAATCTGAACAAGCCCCTAAAAACAGTCAGTGATCACTGTCGGCCTCGCTGGGTTTTTATTAGCTCAACTACAGCTCGTCGGCTCACGGTTTACCAGACGCCACATATTTGAACAGGACAGAAAAGAATCACTCGTAGGCTGAGAAAGATTAGAATGTGTGCATGAAGCTGAGGACCAGGATGTTTTCACTACAAGTAATACAAACCATGCAGCAGTAGTGCTGGGATGGATCATCTCAGATGGTCTCCTGGCTGAAGTTTGGTCTGTTTTCAGCATCTTTTTCCTGTCATGTGATTACATTTGTCTCTGCCCATCAGAGGCTCTCGCCGTAACTTTTACTGAGGAGAAAAAAGTTAGTGTTCATCCTCCAGCTTCACTGTGCTAATGCACTTATGTTATCATAACCATAGCTCTGTAGCTAGCCACCAGCATTATATAGCAGCCAACTTCAGTAACCCTACAAACTGTTGTTTAGTCTTCTGTCTTCATTTATGTTGTAAGTAATAGGGTTAGGGGTTAGGGATTTCAGAAATCCCTCAGCCAAAACGTGGTGTATCATCTTTACTTGGACGCTAGTGAGCTAACTGCCTGCTAACTGCCTGCTAACTAACTTCATAAATCCTTTTTCATGGATTCCTGGATGTTAAACTTTATTGTGACACCTGGTAGAGCAGCCACACAGTTTGTAACTCTCAGTGATGCTGCAGTGTTTGAGTTTGGACCCGGAAACAGCTAATGATGTCAGACTTCAGAGGCAGATTGCTACCATGTGCACTCCTGTGAGTCAGTATGACCTACAAACAGGAGTCTCACACTATCACATGTTGGAAATCAGATTTTTTTTTCAGGATACTAAAAACATGAGTTACAAGTCAGTCAAAAAACCAGTTGCTGCAGTTAAATTCATCTTGTGATGCTTCAATCCCCACTGACGTCTAACGGTTAAAAAAAATGTTGACACTGTGGTAACAGGCCATCTTATGACCTGCCTAAGAAAAATATAACAAAATTGTCTCTGGCTGAATGAAGAGCCTGTTTTATCAAATCCTGATACAACTGGTAACAGTTTGTTGTGCATATCTGACTTATTACTAAATTGTTTCATGGTTGCTACAAATATTTGCTTGCAAAATGTCAATAAAGACAGAGTTTTAACCACAGGTTGCTCCAGGCAACTTGTTTAGGGTTAGTTGTAGGTTTCAACAGAAGAGGGCCTGAAAGCTGAAGGCTCTGCCTCCCATTCTACTTTTAAATACTCTAGGAACAACAAGTAGGCCTGCAGAGC